GGCTATATTATGCAGGGATAATGGAGGTCCTTGCTGGAGAGTGCACAGGGATATTTTGAGAAACACTCTTAAAGTTGATTCTTGGGTTGCTCTTTGGCCCCCTCATGCCATGAGTTCATGGCCAATGCTCAGCATTTTACTAAATTTAGTTTTGGGGGTCACCATTCCTGATAGTTCTTATTAGTAGTATTCATTTCCCTGGCCACCATTGCAGCCTCAAATGGGAGGTTCTCAGAAAAACAGGCTGGGACCTTTACATGACATATACTATTATCATATCTAAGGACTATATGATACAGGGACTATGGAGGTCCTTGCTAGGGGCTACACAAAGATTATTTTGGGACCCACCCAGCAGTTGAGGACTTCCTCTTTACTCGAAAGACCCACAAATGGATGGCCACTGCTCAGACTTTGCTTTGGGGACTACTACTTTCTTGTTCGTCTTCTACTACTACTACTACTACGACTAGTATTGTGATTCTTCATTTCCCTGGCCATCCAGTCAAAGCTCACAGGAGCTCAGAGTCTGCCAGCTCCCGGGTTTAAGGTTCATGGTGGAGGCTTTGGTGGGCCTTTGGGCTCAGGGCTTCTCAGGTCATTTTCTTGGGAAGTTCCACTGGGTCTTAAGGCAGATTTCAGGCTCTTCAGTCCTCTTCCCAATCTCAGACTCGCCAAGCAAAATGACATCCTTGGCACAGGCAGGCTTGCTGTCTGTCAAAGATGTCATGTTGGCTTGCTGTCAGATCACAAAGCAGGGAGCTTTGCAATGCAATTGGCAAGATCTCTTTTTGGGCAGCCAGGCAAGCAATCTAGTAGACTGTCTTTGCAGGAAGCCCCCTGACAATGGGGGCCAGGTCATCCAGCCATTGCTTGGGCACATCTCCAGGGATTTGCTCTTCTTCAGCTGAAGGTAGAGGAAACTCATCACTGGCAATTTGCCATCTCTGCCAGCAGTGCTCATGGATTTCCTTCAGTTTTGTTGCCCAGCTGCTTCGATTCTTGTAATCAAAGGATCTCGAAATGCTTTTTTTGTTGAGGTGCTCGAAGGGCTTCCACTTCTCAGACATTTTTCGCCAGCTGGCTGTCCATCTGTGATCATTAAAGTTCAAGGTGATGGTGACTCCAGGAGGGGCCAACAAAGTCAAAATCTCTGCTGGGGATGAGTGCACCCTGGCACTGGAAGCCCTGGGTGCTCTGGCAGCAGATGATGGGCCCTCTGCACTCAATCTTTCCTTCAGGGTGGAACAACTGATGGAATACTTACCAAATAAATAAATACATCAGAATCAGAGGGGCTTGGGGCTTAGGGCTTGAGAATTATGAGGGCTTAGCAAACCAAGGCTGTTCAGGTTTTGAATGACAAGTACCTGAGGTTGGCAAGTAAAAAATGGCTCAAGCAAGGATCAGGGGCCTCATGGACAACATGTTCATCATGAACCACTGCATCTGCAGGAGGATCTGCAGCTGGCATCTCCTCCTTCATGGGTTTTTGTTTGTTGTAAAACAAAGGGTACATACACTAAACACCCCAAAGACCAACCCTGCCATTATCCCCATGCTCACTCACATTCAAAATCAAAATGGCTCCACCCAGGCTAGGATCAAGGGCCTCATTGTCAATGGTGTCATCAGTGGCCATTGCAGGAGCCAACTCTGCAGGCACCAGCTCCTTCAAAAGGATGTTTGATTCTGATGTATTAGAATATTTATTATTACTCACTGAACTAAATTTTAAAACAAAGTAGTAACCTACAAAACCATGACAGCAACTAAAGAACCACCAGTGGAGCCTCTTCCAGGGGCGAGACATCCTTGTCTGCAGCTGCTTGCCCTTCAGTAGGAGGTTCCTGCCCAATATCATTTGCAACTAACTTGCCCCTCTAGTAGTCTAGGGTTTGGGCTTAGGGTTGAGGGTTAATAGGCCTTTGAACAAACAATAACACCCTTCAAGAAAGCCCTATAAAAGTAGGGTAGGCTATGAAAATGGAAGCCCTTACTAATTTAAGCAAGAATGCCCAAAAACCAACCACTGACTATAACCAAACTGTAGCCACCCTTCCCAGGGAAGCAAAGAAGAGCCCAGCCACTGCTGCATCTGCATCTGCATCATCTTTTTCTGAAACCTGGATAACACTAGGATTGCCAAAACACAGCTTCTCACAAACAGTGGAAAACCATTAGTATATTAAAAGCATACAACCCAACATATTCCACATGCATTCTGAGTGGCCTGTTCCTTCCCAAGTTTCAACTTTTTCTTCATTCTGGCTTTGAAGGATTTCCCTTTTTTTTGTCTTAGCTTTAGCCTTTGCTTTGGGTTTCGCTTTTGCTTTGGCTTTTTTGGCATCTATATTGGCCTTTGCTTTGGCCTTGGCCTGAGCAATGGTTCTTTTCCTCTTGCTCAGCCTGGCCATGTCCTTCTCTTGCCTAATGTCTGCATCATTGTTTCCATCCAGGTGCTCTAACAACTCTTCATAGTCATGGTCTGTGTCTGAATCACCATCCCCAGCAAAGCCCCCTTTGTCCACATTCCTTACACTTCCAAAGCAAAGAAAAGAGGAAAAGCCTTACCATACTAGGGCAAAAAAAGCAAACAAGTTCAGAGCCTCTACTGCCACTACTTTAGTGCTACTTAATAACTACTACTACTACTACTACTACCACTACTACTACTGTTCAGATAACAGGGAACCAGGGAACCCACAAAGAATTGATTGCTGAGCAGGCTTCTGTTTGGCACTGTTCCTTTCCTCTCCCTCTTCCAACAAAGCATCAATGAGCAAGTGCTGAAGCTCTTTCCTTGATGCATTCCCTTTGAATTGCACTTCAAAGTGCTTCAGAATCTGCTTCAGCTGCTCACAAGTCAACTGCAAACCTGATTCAAGCAAGGCATATGGGATCTCCATGGCTTGCCCTGTTTGCTGAAGGCACAGGGGCCCCTTTTGCCCTGCAAGAATGGGCTTGCTGGGGACCACAAGCCAGTCCTGCAAGTTGGTGATGTATTGGAAACTTAGGCAGGAATGCCTTTCAAGCTGAAAGGTGGACAGGTTGTTGTCACTCTGGCTGCTGTCACCCTTCATCAGGCTCAGGTCCCAACCAACAAAAGCAAATCGCCCTTTGGCCAAAACAAGCAGAAGCCTGTCATTGACAATGTTAACCAGAATTTTGCCAACCTCTGCCAAGTTGGACAGCCCAGCACTGTTCACACCACCAGGGTACTCTTCAGGGTGAGCCCAGAACTCAAACAGCCACTCTGTAGCAAGGACCTGGTTGAACTCCATGGTCTGAGAGGTGGAGGGCCAGGTGTGCCCTTTCGATTTTGGGTACATGACCTCCTGGAACTTTTTTTTGACTGCCTGCTACAGGGGGAGGCTGAGCTCTAATTAACCTGACTGAAGCCCTAAACCCTATATTTCTACTATAGCCCTCCATAAAGAAAGGTTGCAAGGCTTGTTTTTTGAGGCAGGCCCTGGTTGAACAAAGAAAAAAAAAGGCTCCCACTGATGGCTTTTTAGCTAGGCCTTAATGGACTAACTTCAGTAGGTAACCTCAAACCAGTACAAGCTTGATATACCTAGGTTGCTGAAGGACAAAAAACTAAAACAAACTCAAACTTCAGCTAAAGAACATGTGAGTTGGGGTGGGTGAGAGCATTGAAGGCCTGAGCTCTGCAAGTTCCAGCTGCTGCTTTGTCCTGGGCTGGCCAAGACTCGGCTTTAGGGTTTAGGGTTTAGGGTTTAGGGCAGCTGCTCCAAAATAGTTGCCAGGGCTTGAGGACTAGTCTTTGAATGCTCAGACTATCACATTATTTTTCAAGTACACAAATTTGACAAAATGTGAATCAGAATGAGTCCAGGCTCTGCTGCTGAGACTTCAATTGTCTTGAGTCCCCTGGAAGTCAAACTGTTGCAAGTCACAACAGCATGTTGCTTGGAGATTCTGCTTCTGGAGTTGTGGCGAGCATCTCGCAAACAATCCTTTGCTTGTTGATGCGAATTTTCGACGACCACGGTGTCTCCTATATGAGACACACAGACTCTCAAGAGGTGCAGAACAGTGCTCACAGAACTGCTGCTGGTAGAAGACTGGGCAAGGTCGTTTGAAAGATACAGCAGTCTGACCACCTGGTTTTGTCGCCAGTGAAGGAAGGATAGGGGAGTCACCAGAGCACCAGCAGCCTCTGTGGATTCAGCCTCCAAGAGCATCCTCCATTCTGACTGCATTTTGCTCAGTGTGGCCCTGCCTTAGATGTGTGAAATCAGGAGCAGCCAATGCCAGGGGAGAGCTACACTTCATGGCCCAATCATTTAAAAAATGTGATAAGATTAGACTGGGGCTCCTGTCACTGATGCTGGGCTTTAGCAAGAAGAAGGTCAAAAAGCACAGCCCAGAGCCCCAATCAATGAGTCAGTCAAGCAATGATACTGCAAATGGCTGATGCTTGGGGAAAAACATCCTCATGAAAAGTGACTGAATTCACAGGCTAGCTGCAAATGGGCCCCTGTGCACCAGCATATCGGTGAGGTGGTCTCAAGTAAGCACTGGCCAGGGACTCCACCCTCTTCTCCACCAGCTTGAGCAGACAGACATAGTGCGTGTTCAATGCAGCATCTAAGTTCCCCAGCAAATCTGGATACAGATGACCAATCTTGAAAAAGCCATCATGCAGGAGGTGGTGAACCTCTTGAGCCCACAGCTTGCCAACAGTTCTTCTGGCTGTGTCCTCCACCAGTTGCTCTGGAGTCTTGATGTTGATCGCCCTGCCACTGAAGGCCTTCCAGCAAGGTCTTCCAAGTGTGACCAGAAGTTCACCTCTGCTGACTCAACAGCCATAGCAAAAGAAGTAACTAGTAGTAGTCCTAGCAGCAGCAGTAGTACTAATTGTTACTAGTACTGCTTCAGGCTTGAGGTTAGGCTTTGGGCCCTGAAGTTAAGGAGACCTGGCAAAAGCAATGAAAATGCAGTTTTCCAAAGCAGAAAAAAAAAACAAAGGATTTTCAAATGCTCATGAAGGCACACTTCCACCAAGATTCTGGACTGATGAACTTCACAGCAAGAGACCAGCAACCGTACTTGAGCTTGAGCTGCCTGATCTCCTCCTTGTGATTCATGGTGGAGTTTTCCAGCTGTGCAGGAAAAGCCTCATGCTCCTCAGTCACACAATCTTCAGCTCTCTTGCCAAATGCCATGAGCATTTTCGTCACGAAGAGCTCACCCTTGTAGAAGGTGTGGCTTTCGAAAAACGAAAACCACCTCATCAGTTTCACCAGAGGCCCTGCTTTCTCAAGACTCTGCATGCTTCCAAACCTGTTCCAAACTGCTTCGAGCTCCTCTGCAGTTGAAGGCTCTTCAGGGAGTTCAAGTTCCCTGGCAATCATGGGAAGGTATTCCAGAAAAATGCTGGAATATGGGGAGTTCTGCAAGAAAAACTCTTGATGGCATTGTTTTTTCCTGTCCCACCAGGCTTTGGTTCCTGCAGGGCCATAGTTGATGTTGTACACCAAAGAATATTCCAACATTGTCCTCCAGAGTTGACCAGGGCCATGCTTGTAAGCAAGTTTCAGGTCGTTCCAGCAGCGATGAAAAGGATCAAATTGTGCATGGATCATTAGCTTGGCCTTATAAGTTAGCATGTCCAATGCAGGAAGATTCATTGGCCCCACGTCGCTCATGCTGATCAACCTTTGACTGTCTGTTAAAGGGCAAGTGTCAGTTGCTAATGAGTCTAGGTTCTTGCTGTGGTCCCTGGAAGCACAAAAGCCTTAAAAACATAATTTATGAATCTTGCTGCTACTGGGCCTGTCCATCCTTCCTATATGCTTTGGTTAGGGTTAAACTCCTCCATCAGAAGACTAGAAAAGGAACAGCTCTGCCTCAATTACAGCCTGGCATCATAGGAATGCTGGCCAGGTCCAAACCTGGTGGCACCTGTGGGAAGGTTTTGCCTGTCAGCAAGTCTCTGATCAGAAACTGCCCATTTTCCAGCAGTCTTGTCTGCCCTGGCTGCAGGGGACCCAAGTGTAGATCAGCAGGTGTTTCGAACACATGCAATGGCAGGCCGATTGAGCTCAAGGCATTGGAGAGAGCCTGATTGGAGAATCATTACTTAAGTCTTTCACAACCAAGCAATGAACAAAGTGGAAAAGTGTGGAATATTTGCTTTCAGCAGGCCAAGCAGCTCGAAGGGTCGAAAAATTTTCGACCCTTGTCGCCCTCCCCTCAAAGGCTAACCTTTGAACCTCTGTGTCCAGTTCTTCAGTCATGACTGGTGCCATGCACTGGATGGGCAAGAACCCAGTGATCCCACTTTTCTGGTCATGGGCCACTGTTACAAGCACTTCGCAATCGTAAGTGGAAGCATCCCACGATACAGCCACTTGCTGGCAATCTGCAAAGGCTTCAGCCATGCCCTTGTGGTACAAGCACACATCTAGAAGTTGCTCCTGAGTTGAGTATGGGTTGCCCACTTCCCATGATGGAATCATGAGCTGGGAAGGGCTTCTAGCAGACCACCCAACACATGAGAATGTTTAGAAAGAGGTGGTTGAAGCCTACAAGCAAGCAAATCTAAAAAAAAAGCTAGAGTTTGTCACAAACATGAGGTGAGGAAGGCCACAAGCAAAGCAAAGCAGAAAGTACTTGCCAAAAAATGCCAATCATTCAGTCCAGCCACATGGCGGATAAGGCCAATATCCTTGCTTGTCAAGTCGGTGTGAGTCATCATGACCTCTCTCCTATGGCGTCTTTGGCTTTCCAGTCTTTTGAGCAAGAGAAGCTTGTTAAGCTTTGGCACAGACCGGGTATTGCCAGCTTGGCTTTTTAGCAAAGGGAGAGCCCTCTGCTCTTCCAAGGGCTTGGTGCCAAGGTGGCAAGCAAAGTTTGCCATCAAGCTTCCAGTGACATACACAAGTTCAGGGTAAATGTGCTGGCACACATTCTTCCATACATCTGAGCTTGCCTGGTTGTGCTTGGTATAGGAAACAAAGAACATCACATCCCAAAGACTGGCCAACTCAAGGGTTGAAGTGATCTTCTGTCCCTGCCATCCAACATCAATCAGCTTTTTCCACAGCCTGGCAGCAGTTGAGCTGAATGCTTCCAGGTTAGCAAGATCTGCTGTCAGGCCCTGGCCATTGAAGCTCCAGGTGAGAGTAGCAGGGTTCCCTCTGGGATCAAAGCAGTTGAAGGAAATAGCACCATTCCAAATGGGAACACCTCCCCATCTCACACTTTGCTTCACCAAATCAGTGACCATATCCAAACTTGCCTTCTTACCTTTTGAAGGCATGGACTTGTGACCAGGAACATCCAGCAGGAAAACCACCAAAGCTCTGCTTTCAACTGAATGTCCACTGCTGTGAGGATCTGGCTCTTGCCTGTCACCCCTGCCCCTGTAATGGATCTCATCTTTTGAAACCTCAGCTGATTCAAAAAGCAAACTTGGTCATTGACTTCCTCCTTTTACTAGATAACATCATAATATGGGTTTGTAGCTTATAAGAAACAAATACAAATACTAACAAGAACAGGTGGTGAAGGGCTTAGAGCTTAACCATGACTCCATTTGAATCCTGAGGCAGTAAAGGCTTAGGCCTTTGGGTTTGGAGCCTATCACAGAAAAATCAAAATCCTGATGGGGGGCTTAAGTTTAGCTTTAGTATGTAGGGCTTGGGGTGAAGGGTTCCATGCATGCTACCCATTATTGCACTCTGCCCAGTGGCTTCAGCAAATTCCAATTTGGCTTCCAGCTTGGGCAAATTTCTCTGCAAGAAAACATGATCAGCTTGTGCTACCCCAATTTCCTTCAGCACTCTGGCCCATTCCCACTCTGGTGCATCACCATCATTGACATGCCCTGCAAGGGTGGCACCAGATGCTATCTGGCACTGAAATGGGCGAAAATCCATGGCAGGAGCATATTGAATGCATGTTGATAGTAGGGATGAGCTTGCATGCTATCTTGCTAGACTAAAATCAGCACACTGCAGAGTGGTGAAGCACAAAGCTTGAAAAGTTTGGCAAGGATCCCACAGTAGTTCATTTAGGCTCAAACAAAGACATTCATGCAATGTGGGGCTCATACCATTCAGTGATGCTAAAATGTGGGTATTTTGGGGCTTACATAGTTCCATGGTTGATTAAGATGAACCCTCCACACACACCCACCCCACCCCCCCTTGCCTTCCAAAGTTGCACAATGGATCATGCTAGCTCATGCCAAGTGAAGCAGCCCATGACAAGCTTGACATGCCAGATGCACCACAGATTCTTGACCTTAACTTTTGCCTGGCTAAACTGTACTCCTGGCTGCTCTGGCACTCATGGCCAATGTCCTTGGGTGACACTGAACTTCCAGCCACTCCACTGCCTCAGATAAAGCAGAAATATTACAGAAAATCATCCAGCATGCATGCAACTGCCAACATGGGAGACCATAACCTTTGGGACTGTTGGGGCAAGAAGCTGGCACTGTGGGCCATCATTCCAACATCCCAGGTCCAAGCCAACTTCATAACAGGCCTCAATGACCCAGGGTGGAAACAGATGCAATGCCTTTCAAGCACAAGCACACAAACAGACTTGTTGCCAAGCAGCTGCCTTTGCAGGCCCCAATTTAAAAAATTCCACCCAGCCATTCACAGCTGCCTCAGGGGAGTAAAGCATTCCAGCACCATGCATGCCAGCATTTTTGACCAAGAACCTGGGCCCCAAGGCCACCATTCAATCATAATCATCATATCCCAGCATAGCCTGCCTGAGCTGACATGAAGTTTGTATGCACACTGCCAGCAAACAGTAAACTTGCCTTCAAAGGCCCTCAATGAGCCACCAAAAATTTCCAGCCTGAAGGGGAGCACAACAAATGAGTGCATGCACACTTTTTGCCAAGAAGCTCGCCTTCCAGGCCACCAATCAATATCAATCTAATTGAATCATCCAGCCCATCAGCTGCCTCAGGTGCATTCATAAATGCCAGAAAAGCAGATGAAATTTGAATGCATGACAAATCTTGCCAAGAATCTGCCCTGAGGCCTATGACTCAACATCCAAGCCAGCTTCTCCAAGTAGCCAGCTGCCTGAGATAGCACAAGCCACAGCAACATGCTATGCATGCCATGCCACTCATACACTGCAGCACTGACTACTTGCCAAGAGGCAGCTAGTGCTTCCAAAGGTGGCTGTCCACTAGGCCAGAGGGTCTGCAGGAGCATGACAAAGACTGGCTCAGCTGGAACTTTCTGCAGACCTTGCTGCACCTCATACACACTGCACAGCACCTGCAGTTTGGCTTGAATCCTGTCCCACTGGCCACTGGCTTGTGGCTACAGCCAGCAGGAAAGAAGGCACTCTGGGGGCAGCAAAAGCACACTGGCAAGTCAGCAGTATTCTGGGCCCTCCTACTTGCAAGGAGCTGCTGCTTTGCAAGTGTCCAGGCTATGGACCTGTAGAGCAAAGGTTGTCCTGGCACAAACTCCTCCTCAGAGTCATACAGTAGCTAGGTCAGCCACACCTTTGCAACCTGGGAGCCTGGGTCAAGACCCTGTTCCTGAAGTCTCTGGAACAGTGGACAGGAGGCTGCTTTCAGGGCTGAGGCCTCCATCTGGGTGCAGCCTGGTGTCCTCAGCCTCATCTCCAACTCAAAGACCCAAAGCTGGTTTTGGGCTTGAAGGTCCAGGTCCATAGCACCCTCAAAAGCCTCAGTATCACTGGGCATCATTGGATCCTCCTCCTGCTGCTCCTCTTCCTCTGCACTTTCTGAGACGCTGCTGGAGAGGGCTTTGGCAGACACCTCCACATCTGATCCAACAAGTGTCTCCTGAGCTGCTGTGCCAGAAAGTTTCAGCAACAAAAACCAATTTGCTTGACACAACGATGCTGCCACATGGTGCCTATGCAAGCAAGGAACATCATCATCCATGGCAGAGCACAAAGTCAGAGCCTGGGCCTCACCCCTAAAAAACACCCTGTCCAAAGGGCTTCTTGACCCCCAAAGGAAAACTGCAAATGAGAGCAGCTCAGCTCTGCATGGAATGATTGGAATACAAAGCATGTGGTGCACCATGTCACAAACTCTCAGTCCAGCTCTGCTATTTTGCTGTTCCCAGGTGGAATCACAATGACTGCCAAACTGCAACAACTGCAACGGGCACCCCAAAGTCCTGAGGAGAAATTTAAGCTGAAAGCTCAAGTTCAGTGGCACCTAACCTACATGGGGCCCAGGGTGAGATGCCCAGCTGCTGCTTTATCAGCTCAGGAAAATCAAGCACATGTCATCGGATAGTCCTGAGCTGAGATTAAGCAAAGCAATGCTTGACTGATTTTTTTTGATATCCTAGAATCTAAGAAGCTTTTCTTGTTCAGCTGGTGTGCTTAGTTTTGGAATGCTGCTAAATTTTGCTGAAATTTTCTGCAAGTTTCTGGAAGTTTTTTGGAAGTTGTTGGAAATGTTCTGGAAATTTTCTGGATTTTCTGGATTTTTTTGGAAGTTTTTGGAAGTTTTTGGAAGTTTTGGGAAGTTTTTGCCAAAAACTTCCAAAAACTTCCAAAAACTACCAATCTGGATTGCAATAATTTCCACTTTTTTTTCTGCCTGCTGGCAGGGGAAATGCTGCCCTTTTTTTCCAGCTTTGTTTTTAGCCATTTTTTTGGCAACCCTGACCAATTCATCACCCTTTCGAGATCTGGCTTCATGCACTGCCACTGCAAAAAGTCATGCATCAATTTTTCTTGCTTTCTGATTGACAGGAGAAATATTCAATTGACATTGATTCATCAAAAATGTCTTACTGACATGTCTTTTGCCCTCAATCATTCTTCAATCTGAAGCAGAGCTGCCAGCCATGAAGCCAATCTCCAATGTTGAAATCAAATCTCCTGGGCAGGGCTCTCCTTTATTTCTGCTGCAGCTGCTGCTGCTATTGTTGGCTGTTGCTGCTGCTGTTGTTCCTGATTCTGTTGCTGTTGTTGCTGTGTTGCTGTAAACACAACATATATATATACATATATATATATATATCTATATGCTTATTGTTATTGCTTGTTCTGCTAATGTTGCTGCTGCTGCTGCTGCTGCTGCTGCTGCTGGGCTGTTGCTGTTGTTCTTGTTGTTGTTGCTGTTGCTGTTGCTTGCTGCTGTTGGCTCTTGTTTGCTGTTGTTTGCTGTTGTGTGTTGCTGCTTCTTCTTGCTGCTGCTGCTGCTGCTGCTGTTGCTGCTGTTGCTGCTGTTGCTTTTGTTGTTGTTGTTGTTGTTGCTGTTGTTGCTGCTGTTGTTGTTGTTGTTGTTGCTGTTGTTGCTGTTCTTGTTGGTGTTGTTGTTGTTTTGTTGTTGTTGTTGTTGTTGTTGTTGTTGTTGTTGTTGTTGCTGTTGCTGCTTCGCCGTGATGATCTTGGTCATAGGCTTGGTGCCAGCCGGGGGGGGGGGGGGGGG